GTTTTAAATTTTTTTGAAAACAAAACCTAAACATTCTCAGTTAACAATTAAAAGAAAGCAACACGTACAAACTAATTAAAGCTCAAGACAATAAACTCTAGTTAAAGCTTTCGTACCACAATCGTTACAGAGATAAAGCAGCTATTTAAACAGCTAAACGCTGCTCATTCAGTACTGTCGCGCAATTCTGCGCGCTAAATTGTCTGCGAACGCTGACAGCGGTGACAGGTTCTTTTTTAGCTGGCCGCGACTCTCCAGGCCGTTGATGGTGCCGAGCGGGACCCGGCGGGATGGCGACGGGGCGCAGGACCCTCCGCAGTGGAGGGGGGCGGCGGGGGAGGCAGGGGCGGACCGCCGGCGCGCCTTCTCGCGCCGCGAGGGGGAGGACTCCGCCTTCACCTTGCAGGGGCTCTTGCGCGCCACCGCGGCGATGTCATCCTTCATGGGGTAGACGGGCACCTGGTCGATAACCTGTACCACGGGTACGTTCTCCTGGAGCTGGCTGTCGTCCTTGCGGGAGGCTGGCGTCAGATCGATGGCCTCCTCGCTGACGTCCACGTCCATGCGTGACTGCTCGGCGCGCTCGTTGGCCAGGTTCTCGTTCACCTCGTTGTCCACGTCCATGGCGACGACGGCGGCGGCGGCCGCGCGCGCGCGCTCTGCATCCTTGGCGGTCTGCGACCACGACACCTCCACCTTGACGACCTTCTCGAGGACGCCCCAGTACTCGTTGAGGTTGATCTTGGTGTGGAACCGGCGGGGCAGTCCGGGTCTGGCCGAGCTGGCGGGCTGCAACAACAAAGGAGAGGAACGTCTTACTTCGAGAAGCAGGAAGCGCTTTCAATCGCGGGCTGTAACGGCCGCTTTAGGCAGGCTGGCCGATCGGATTGGAGTGGTGGGGGAGGGTGCGAGCGCTGGAGGGGGAGGGGGGAAACAAAGATGGGAGCGCGGCTCGGTTCTGGCGGGAGGCGTCCGCCTGGGAGGTGGGCAGCCCCGCCGCCCGGCTCCGCAGCGGGTTGCCTACGCTAGATCCCGCGGGCGTTAGAGACAAAGGGCGAGCGGCTCGCGCGCGGCGGGCGCGGACGGACACCGCCACCGTGACGGGCGGCGGCTTCACGCTCGGCCGGCCCGCGTGCAATTAGCGACAGGTAGCTCAGCAGGTGGCTGCACCCTTCCCGCCCTTTTCCCACTGCCGCGCGCGCTCGACGGAACCGTGACGAACAAAAATCGAATCACAGACAAAGACGAAAAAACAAAGGGAATTTAACGGTTTTTTTTTTTACGGAGCTATTTGCAAAATCACGTCAGATATTTTCAGCGAGGGATAAAATATGTACAGCGCCGTTGTAAGAACCATTTTTGAACTTGAACTAAAATGGGGATGTACAGGGAAGCGTAGACATGCTGCTCAATGAGCCATATTTAAAGGGCACTCCACAACAACATACAAAGAAGCCTCCTGATGGAGACTGCGCAATATTGGACTTGTCAAGGGATCCTTACCTGTTTGAAGACTCCGCGCAGCGTGGTCCAGGAGGGTCGGCGTGTGGCCATGGCGTCCAGGGTGGCGGAGAACGTCTTGGCGTCGTCGGCGTCCCTGACCTGTGGCGGTGAGGCGAGCGGGGGTTGGCTCAGGCACATGGTGTTCTTCCAAGGGCTGGGCAAGGACTGGCGAGGCAGGGCAGTGCGCCCCCCGCTCATATAGAGCAGGGATTGGGAGCGTGCTGCGCACGCGCTCGGCTCGGCTCGGCCCGCCCCCCTGCGGCCCGGCTGCGCTCGGCTCGGCTCGGCCGGGGCTCGGCCTTGGCCTCGGCCGCCGCTCGGCCCGCGCTCGGCACCCGACCGGCTCCCCGCTCGGCCCCCCGGCACCCGACGCGGCACCCGACGGCACCCGTGCGCGGCTCGAGGCGTGTCGCGCGTGGTGCGGCCGTCGCATGTTGCGCCGAGTCGAGGTCAGCCGCGTGATTTTTTGGACGCGATGATCAAAAGTGCACTTTCACCCGTCTCTTCAATTACAAATATTGTGGCCCTTGTGCGAACACGCAGCTGAGGCGCAGCCGGCTCGTTTTATGACTTAAATTGAAAAACATTTATATTATACGCACTTTGAAAATTCTTTATTTGCGTAAGAAGCGGGGGGTTGGGGGTTTATTTCTGTGCGCTACGGTATTTGGCGCCTACGTGCGAAGGGGTCGTAGAGACGAGGCCCATCATTCCGTCCCCTAATTATCAGATACGTGCGAGTCAAAATGCAGAATGAAGACCATTGTGTAAAAGCACATGAAAAACTTACCGGGGAAGGAGAGAGCTGTTTATGTTTTTAAATACCATGTTGAGGTTTTAACCCGTTTCACGTTTGGTTTGCCGTGATACTGCGTGGTCTGGTACGCGTGCGTGCTTGATGAAGAGCAAGCAAACTGCCATGCTTCCTCATTAAAATATGACCCGTGCCCGGCGTTTCGGCAAAAGCATGGTTCTGCTTTCAGTCGGGGGCCGACGGTGCCAGTGCCTGAAGTTGAAAAAACATGACAGGTAGAATATGTAGAAAAAATAAAATAGAGCGGTTTTGCAAAAACAGACTCACACGCACACGCCACGTGTAAAAACTATGAAAAGGGGGAGGTAAAAAATATCACGAGTAGAAACATCTCTCCTATCCCCACAAAATGGGTAACATGTGCTTCCCCCTTTTTTTCCCGGAGGGAAAACGCGCGACTACTGCCGCATATCTTCCCCATCCACCCACTCTGTACGAGTTTATCATAAACAGAAGACGCCCTCATGGCCCCCATGCCGCCCTGCTGCCTTCTGTCAATTAAAAGAAAATGAGCCCTTTGACACAGCCGCGCGCCGCCCCTCCGACTAGTGCCGAAAAAAAGAGGAAGGGGCAGAAATCTGCGGTGCACTCAAAGCCAAAGTATACCGTGTGTCTGTCTGCAGATGAGGCATTCCAGCACCGCACTGCCGCCAATTTACCAGGAACGTCTGGACGCACGGGAGCTCGGGGCGCGCGTGCTGCAAGGGCTGGTTAGCGCGGGGCGGCAGGGAATGTCGAGGTGGTGTGTTGGCAAAGCGTAAATGGATCTCTCGGAACCAACAAAACGAAAATGACTCACGCGGGGTAGTTTACGGAATTCCTTTTGTTTTTCTGTTTAGGGCTTTATGCTGGCCAGGGAAGTTGGGGAAAAGTCAGGGTAATGAAAAGGGAAGTCACAGTCAGAGAAGTCACGAAAATCCGGTCTGTCTGGGTCAGGGAAAACTTTCAAGACAAAGAAAAATTGGCCTCTGTTTATTATTATTTTATTTTTTTAATTACTTGTCTGAGCCAAAAATCTATTTTTTTATTGATGACCTAATTATCATTTTTTGTGCTACAATGGCGTTTGAAGTTTTGATTCTTAGTCTGGATTTCATAAGGAAATGAACAACGTCACAAATCTCTCTTCCTGTTCTTATCTTATTCTGTGTCGTTTGTCGCACTCCGCTTTTCGCCCAGTTCTGAAAAAGTTGAAGATGTGTGCCAAGTAGGGCATAAAAGGATTAGATGACTGAACAAGCGCAGACGGTGCAGGACAGAGAGGGGTTCAGGTTTGTCTTTCCCGCCGCGCGGCAAAAGGGGGGGTGACAGCGGGAGGTTACCCGCATGCCGCGCCCTCAAAGACATCTCCTCGGGGCGGCCGCATCAGGTTACATACCAACGGACTGTTTGGCACCAGCTGCGAATAGCGTCGCGACGGGCTGATAGAGCGCACCCGGGGACCCGCCGAGGGGGGAACAGGGGGCGGCGGGTATCGACACTCGGCCGATATACGGTTTATGGCCCGGCGATAATGATTATCGAAAGTATTATCGGGGTTGTCAGTAGTCTAACCTCCGACCCAGGGTTGGCTGTCCCCGTCCGCGGCGCGTCCTTCACCCGACGCCGTGACGCCCACCCCAACGCGATGGTCAAGGTCGTCGCTCACCGCTCGCAACGGTAAAAGGGGGAGGGGCGAGGGGTACATGACCCTTCCAAACGTCCAGAGCACTTGTCCGTGTAGCAAGTACGGCAGCAACATGCGCACACCCCTTTCCTCAACAGGTGCCCCCCTCTCCCCTCCACCCCCAGACTAATAAGGACCGAGTGCGCGACCCACGTGTGCAGAGGGGGTTGGGGGGGGGAGTCACCCCCATCGCACTGGTTGGGCTGCTGCGCGTGGGAACACGGCCCTCTCCTGCTTTCCCACAACAGGCACCCCAGCTGCTGCGCGCTCCCTTTCCTTCCTACATACGTCCGTCCTTGTCCTCCGCCCGGCCGTTAGGCCTCTGTCTCTCTCTCCCTCCCCCCGGCCGTATCTGTCCTCCTCCAACGACTCTCTGCTCTCGCTCTAAGTAGCAGGGCTCCTGCTCACACCTGCCGCTATCGCCATCCTCGTCGCTCCGCCCGGCGGAGGCCCGGTGCACCTCACTCGCTCTCTCTCTCGCTCTCGCCACGACCCTCTCCGCCCCGCCTCCGCAGCAGCGTCTCCGCCGCGCCACGCCCCACGCTGCGCCCGGGACAATGTGTGATGTGTGTTACATTTATGGATGGCCTCGGTCAGGCAATCCTTGTGTCCTCCGATAACGCAAGGGGATTGGGGGAAAGGGGGGGGGCAGCGTGCTGAGAGGGGTCTGGGGTGTCGATATGATGGGGAGGGGGAGGGGGGGTGGGTCCCCGAGGGTCACAATCATCCGACACCTCCTCAATAACACAGTATCTCCGCACCCATTATTCCATTATTATTATTCTTCCACAAATTATCACGCCGTTTTGCCTGGTCTTAGCGCTCGCGTGATGTCATTGTGTTTGTTTTTTTCCGTTGGAGATTATACATTTTCGTCAGATGGTCCAGAGAAGTCTGAAGTAGCAAACACACGAGGAAGGGGGGTTTTGCAATAGCGCGTGGTTTTGACGATACTTCCAGAAAAAATATGACCCATAGCCCCATCATCAACTTTGCTCTTAAAACAAATAAATCTCACCTTACTTGATCTTAGGTCAAAATTTACTTAGACCAAGACACTTTTTTCTGGGTGTAACGACAATTTTCCGATTTCTGTCCCCACAATATTAATGTCTTCCCATGCGCAGAAAGGGTCACAATTTTCCAAAAAGGAATAACGAATAGAGAATATAATGATACAAGTGATTAATGGTTCAATCCTTGTGTGTCTTGCACCGGGGAACCCCAAAGAAAAGGCGATATGGATATGAGGTTTTGGGGGTGTCGATTTCAAGCCTCGCGAACCCCCGACAAAGGCGACGCCCCCGCCTATCACGGTGCACCTGTTGACAAAACTTTTTTATTCCGCTCATCTGGGTTTTGCGGCCGGGGGACTTTCTCAGGGTCCCCAGGCGAACAAGGGGCGGTGCTATGGGGGGCGGCTGGGGGCGTGTCGCTGCGGGGGCGGTGGACAGGGGCCGACCAGAGTGACTTGATTCGCACAGCAGGATCAGCAGGTGGTGCGGGAGTCGTGGGAAGTGTCGTCCTCCCCATATCCACCGGATCGGGGTGTATTATCCGCCGGTGGGGCAAGGGCGAGAAGAAAAGGCAAAAAGGCGTGTCATCTCGCAGGTGAACCGCGGGGGCGGGGCGGGGGCTCACCGGCCGTCTCAGCCTCCGTGCGTACAAGTCCCCCGGTCCGGGGAAAGGACACAAGGGGCTGCTCTGTGAGGGTTCTCACGGGGTACGCGGCAGTCAGTTGAAAAATGTTGATCAACCGCGCGAGATGTGAAAATGACTACCTCGGTGGTGGTGATGGTGGCATGAAAAAACACGACCGTACCTGTTCATTATTTAACCCTTACGGCCAAGAATGCGAGAAAAACACGGGGCCGGAAAAAAAACGGACCCCTTCCTTCCTCTTCGTCATCTTCTACTAAACTTCTTTAGGGCGTAAGGGAAGACCCACAGGTCGGCCTTTTGACTTCCACGTGGTCCTCGCGTGTCAGTCGCGCGCTCTCTGCCCCCTCCCCCTCCCCCCTCA